TGCTCCGTGGCATGTGGGATCTTCCCGGACCAGGGCTCGAACCCGTGTTCCCTGCAATGGCAGGTGGATTCTTAACCACTGTACCACCAGGGAAGCCCTCTGCTATAACATTTTTTTTAATTAGTTTTATGATTTTGGTTTGTCATATATTAACTTGTATATTCTTATGAGTTAAATGTTGTTATATTGATATATAACCATTTCAAGAGTTAAGCTGCAATTGGCTAGTTGACATAAAATTACATTTATAGACATTAAATTGAACATCTGTGAATTTAAATTTGTTAGTTTTCATATTTTGGAATAAACAGATTTTTTTCGTTCTTTTTGTAGGCCTTAAGTTTTGTGCCCATAAATACAGTTTTACAAATCACTGTGTATTTCCTTGTATCCTCCCTTTGTTTCACAATTGATTGCTTACTACCTAGCATGTTTGTTATTGCTGATAACTGATTATAAAGTGTGACTGTATTTTTAACTTTTCATCAAATTTGAAATAATTTTCATCAAATTTGAAATAATTAGATAGTCATTTTTTTGCATAATTAATTATGAGAGTTTGTTTCTAATGAAAGGTATTAAAGAGTTAACCTCTTATAGATTCAATGTATGTCCCTATCAAAATGCCAGCTAGATTTTTTGGAGAAATTGACAAACTGATCCTAAAATTCACATGGAAATGTCAGAGGATTAGACTAGACAAAACAGTCTTGAAAAAGAAGAACAAAGTTGGAAGACTCACACTTCACCATTTCAAAACCTACTACAAACTATAGTAATCAAGACAATGTGGTACTGGCACAAGAATAAACATATAGATCAATGGAATAGAATTAAGAATCTAGAAATAAACCCTAGTATTTTTGGTCAATTGACTTCTGACAAAGGGCCAAGTCAATTCAATAGAAGAAAGAATAGTTTTTCAACAGAAGGTGTTGGGATAACTAAATATTCATATGGGTAACAATGGATTTAGATTTCTACCTAATATTATACAAAAAAATGAACTCAAGGTAGATTATAGACTTAATGTAAGGATTAAAACTAAAAAATCTCTTAGAAGAAAACAGTATTAACTCTCTGTGACCTTGGGTGTGGTGATGATTTCTTAGGAGTTACATCAAAAGCATAATTAATAAAGGCAAAGATTGGTAAGTTGTACTTCATGAAAATTAAAGACTTTTGTGCTTCAAAGGACACCATGAAGAAAGTGAAAAGACAACCCACAGAATGAGAGAAAATATTTGCAAGTCATATAGCTGATTCTTGAATCTAGAATATATAAAGAATGCTTACTACTCAATGAGACAAACAACCTAATTGAAAAAATGGACAAAGGATTGGAACAGGCAGTTCTCCAAAGCTATAGGAATGTTGAATAAGCATATGAAAAGATGCTCAAAATTATTAGTTATTAGGAAAATGCAAATCAGAACCACAATCAGATACCACTTTATGCCCACTGAATGACTATGATAAAAAAAAAGAGAGAAAATAACAATTATTAGTGAAGATATGAGAAACTGGAACTCTCCTACATTGCTGGTGGGATTATAAAAGTTACAACTACTCTGGAAAAGTGTTTAGCAGTTCCTCAAAACATTAGGCATGGAGTTACCATATGACTCAACAATTCCAGTCCTAGATACCTAACCAACAGAAATGAAAACATATGTCCACACAGAAATGTGTATACAGATGTTTATAGCAGCATTATTTATTAGTAGCCAAAAAAGTGGAAACATCCCAAATACCTACCAACTGGTAAATGGAAAAACAAAATGTGGCATAGCCATACTATAGAATATTATTCTATAATAAAAAGGAATGAATTACTGCTACATGCTGTAACATCAATGAACCTCAAAAACAGTATGCTAAGTAAAAGAATCAGTCACAAAAGATCACATGTGGTATGATTCTCTTTATATGAAATGCTCAGAATAAGCTAATCTACAGAGGCAGAAAGTAGATTAGTTGTTGCCTATGGATGGGAGAAGGGATAAGGGAGGGGATGGGAGTGACTGCTAAGGGGCATTAAGTTTCTTTATGGAGTGATGAAACTGTTCCAAAATAAGATCATGGTGATCGTTGTACAACTCGGTAAATATACTAAAATCCATTGAATTGTATACTTTAAATAAATAAACTTTATGGTATATAAATTATATATCAATAAAATTGTTTAAAAATTGAGGTAACTTCCAAAATGCAATAAACCAAGTGGCATATGGATATTTTTGATGATTGTTATTTATAACAATTTTAACAGCTATGCTTCATATTTTCTCTAGAAACAGTCTGAATACACCCAGTTTCTTGTACTCCCATCTTCTTTTTTTTTTTACTTCAAGTACCATTTTATTTTATTGTTTTATTTTTATTTTTTAGAATTTTATTTTTTTATACAGCAGATTCTTTTTAATTATCTATTTTATACATATTAGTGTATATATGTCAATCCCAATCTCTCAGTTCATCTCACCCCACCCCCCCAATCCCCCCTTGATATCCATATGTTTGTTCTCTACATCTGTGTCTCTATTTCTGCCTTGCAAACCAGTTCAGCTGTACCATATTTATAGATTCCACATATATGCGTTAACATATGATATTTGTTTTTCTCTGACTTTCTTCACTCTGTATGACAGTCTCTAGGTCCATCCATATCTCTACAAATGACCCAAATTCCTTCCCTTTTTATGGCTGAGTAATATTCCATTGTATATATGTGCCGCATCTTCTTTATCCATTTGTCTGTCAGTGGGCATGTAGATTGCTACCATGACCTGGCTATTGTAAATAGTGCTGCAATGAACATTGGGGTGCATGCGTCTTTTTGAATTATGGTTTTCTCTGGGTATACACCCAGGAGTGGGATTGCTGGGTCATACAGTAATTCTATTTCTAGTTTTTTAAGGAACCTCCGTACTGTTCTCCATAGTGGCTGTATCAATTTACATTCCCACCAACAGTGCAAGAGGGTTCCCTTTTCTCCACACCCTCTCCAGCACTTGTTGGTTGTAGATTTTCTGATGATGCCCATTCTGACCAGTGTGAGGTGATATCTCATTGTAGTTTTGATTTGCATTTCTCTAATAATTAGTGATGTTGAGCAGCACCTTATGTGCCTCTTGGCACACCTTCTGTATGTCTTCTTTGGAGAAATGTCTACTTAGGTTTTCTGCCCATTTTGTGATTGGGTTGTTTGTTTTTTTTAATATTGAGCTGCATGAGCTGTTTATATATTTTGGAGATTAATCCTTTGCCTGTTGATTCATTTGCAAATATTTTCTCCCATTCTGAGGGATGTCTTTTCCTCTTGTTGATAGTTTCCTTTGCTGTGCAAAAACTTTTAAGGTTCATTAGGTCCCATTTGTTTATTTTTGTTTTTATTTCCATTACTTTGGGAGGTAAGTCAAAAAAGATCTCACTGTGATTTATGTCAAAGAGTGTTCTTCCTATGTTTTTCTCTAAGAGTTTTTTATAGTGTCTGGTCTTACATTTAGTTCTTCAATCCATTTTGAGTTTATTTTTGTGTATAGTGTTAGGGAGTGTTCAAATTTCATTCTTTTACATGTAGCTGTCCAGTTTTCCCAGCACCACTTATTGAAGAGACTGTCTTTTCTCCATTGTATATTCTTGCCTCCTCTATCAAAAATAAGGTGACCATATGTGTGTGGGTTTATCTCTGGGCTTTCAATCCTGTTCCAGTAATCTATATTTCTGATTTTGTGCCACTACTATACTCTCTTGATTACTGTAGCTTTGTAGTATAGTCTGAAGTCAGGGCGTCTGACTCCTCCAGCTCCGTTTTCTTCCCTCAAGATTGTTTGGCTATTTGGGGTCTTTTGTGTCTCCATACAAACTTTAAGATTTTTGGTTCTAGTTCTGTGAAAAATGCCATTGGTAGTTTGATAGGGATTGTGTTGAATCTGTAGATTGTTTTGGGTAGTATAGTCATTTTCACAATATTGATTTTTCCAATCCAAGAACATGGTATATCACTCCATCTGTTTGTGTCACCTTTGATTTCTTTAATCAGTGTCTTATAGTTTTCTGAGTTCAGGTCTTTTACCTCCTTAGGTAGGTTTATTCCTAGTTATTTTATTCCTTTTGTTGCAGTGGTGAATGGGATTGTTTCCTTAATTTCTCTTTCTGATCTTTCGTTGTTAGCATATAGGAATGCAAGAGATTTCTGTGCATTAATTTTATATCCTGCAACTTTACTAAATTCATTGATTAGCTCTAGTAGTTTTCTGATGGCATCTTTAGGATTCTCTATGTATAGTATCATGTCATCTGCAAACAATGACAGTTTTACTTCTTCTTTTCTGATTTCGATTCCTCTTATTTCTTTTTCTTGTCTGATTGCCATGGCTAGGACTTCCAAAACTATGTTGAATAATAGTGGTGAGAGTGGGCAACCTTGCCTTGTTCCTGATCTTAGAGGAAATGCCTTTAGTTTTTCACCACTGAGAATGATGTTTGCTGTGGGTTTGTCGTATATGGCCTTTGTTATGTTGAGGTAGGTTCCCTCTATGCCCACTTTCTGGAGAGTTTTTATCATAAATGGGTGTTGAATCTTATCGAAGGTTTTTTCTGCATCTATTGAGATGATCATATGGTTTTTATTCTTCGATTTGTTAATATGGTGTATCACATTGATTGATTTGTGTATATTGAAGAATACTTGCATCCCTGGGATAAATCCCACTTGATCATGGTGTGTGATCTTTTTATTTTTTTTTAAGGTGTGAATTTTCAAATTTTAATTTTTTTTTCAAGTTTGAATTTTGAAGACCTTTCCACATACAACACACTTATATGGTTTTTCTTAAGTATGGGTTTTCTGATGTGTAGCAAAGGTTGAGCCCTGAGTAAAGGCTTTTCCACACTCAATACATTTGCAAAGTTTCTATCCATTATGTAGTCTGTGATGAATTCGAAGACGTTGTTTGTAACGAGACTTTGCCACACTCATTACATTTGTTAGGTTTCTCCCCAGTATGAATTCTCTGATGACACACAAGTTTTGAATTTTTACTAAACACTTTGCCACACTCACTACATTTGTAAGGTTTCTCTCCAGTTTGAATTCTCTGATGAACTGCAAGGTTTCCTTTTCGATTAAAGAGCTTGCCACACTGATTATATTTGTAAGGTTTCTCTCCATTATGAATTCTCTCATGACGTGCAAGGTTTGAATTTTGACTAAAGACTCTGCCACACTCATTACATTTGTAAGGTTTTTCTCCAGTGTGAACTTGCTGATGCCTTGTAAGGGTTGGCTTCTCACCAAAGAACTTCCCACACTCATTACATCTGTAAGGTTTCACTGCAGTATGAATTTGTTGATGCCTTGTAAAGGTTCTCTTATCCCGAAAAAACTTGCCACACTCATTACATTTGTGAGGTTTCTCTCCAGTATGAGTTACCAGATGACTTGTAAGGTGTGTTTTTTGACTAAAGACACTGCCACATTCACCACATTTGTAAGGTTTCTCTCCAGTATGAATTCTCTGATGAACTGCAAGGACTGCATTCTGATTAAAGACTTTGCCACATACATCACATTTATATTGTTTAGCTTCTCTATGGATTATCATATGTCTCCTGAGGCCTGAGGCAGAATAAATGGTCTTCCCACACACATTACATTTATAAGGCATCTCTCCAGTATGACTTCTCTGATGACTTGTAAGCTGTGAATTTTGACTAAATCTCTTGCCACACTCATTACATTTATAAGGTTTCTCTCCAGTATGAACCCTCTTATGACTTACAGGGTGTGAATTTCGACTAAAGACCTTGTCACACACATCACATTTACGCAGTTTCTCTCCTGTGTGGATTCTCTGATATCTACTAAGGTTTGAGCCCTTAGGAGAGGTTTTGCCATACTCATTACATTTGTAAGGACTTTCCCTGTGTGCTTTCTGGTCTTCTGTCAGTATTGAAAGATGCATAAAATCACTCCCATGTATATTAGAAATTGTGGATTGGCCAGTAGGAGAAATTTCCTGAGATGGTGAAAATGAGGTACTATTGTTGATGCTCTTATCAGCTTGATGAAATTCATAAATTTTCTTTTTACTTTTAAACATACGCAGTTCATCCGAAAAGCTTAATGCCAGCCTATTTGCAATCGGCTTCTTTCCCGAATCCCTTCCACCATGTCGAACTCTTCTATAAGTGACATCTTCATTAGGGGATGTCGGGATATTTTTGTAATTTCTTTCATCATCTCTCCACTGACACCCAAGGTCATGCATATTCTCCTGTATTTCCTGTAGGTAAAAATGCTTGATTTCACAGCTTCCATGGCTTCCCAGCATCACTGTTTGGAATATTTCTCCTATATCAGTGTTTGATTTTAGTTGTAATTTCTTGATCACGTGTATATGAGAGAGATCTGGTGGCACAGTGGTTAAGACTCCACGCTCCCAATGCAGGTGGCCCAGGTTCGATTCCTCATCAGGGAGCTAGATCCCACATGCATGCCGCAGCTAAGGAGCCTGCCTGCCACAACTAAGGAGCCGGCGAGCAGCAACTAAGACCTACAGAGATCAGGTTCCTGTAGGTCTACACCATCACGTCCCTGTACAAGGCCCTCTGAGCAGGATCCAGGCATTCCCACTCTTCTGGAGAGAATTCGATGACCACATCCTTGAAGGTCAACTGTGCCTGAGAAAGAGTCATTCCTGACTCCTCTGCTTTCCCCTTCCTCCTCTTCCTCAAAGAGCTTTTCCAGTACAAAAGATAAAGAGGAGAAAGCAGGCAGGCCTCCAAAAAATAACTTAGTGAAGCAAATCACTGCCCCCTGGCTAAACAGGGTTTGCAAATGGAAGTTATCTTCTGATACAAATAATTACAAAGTGCACATGACAGGAGTTCTGCAATTCTCCTTCTCATCCCTGTCAGTTTGACCTTCACTCTGAGCTCGGTGTATGATCTTTTTAATGTGTTGTTGGATTCTGTTTGCTAGTATTTTGTTGAGGATTTTTGCATCTATGTTCATCAATGATACTGGTCTGTAATTTTCTTTTTTTGTAGTATCTTTGTCTGGTTTTGTTACCAGGGTGATGGTGGCCTCATAGAATGAGTTTGGGAGTATTCCTTCCTCTGCAATGTTTTGGAAGAGTTTGAGAAGGATGTGTGTTAGCTCTTCTCTAAATATTTGATAGAATTCACCTGTGAAGCCATCTGGTCCCGGACTTTTGTTCGTTGTAAGTTTTTTAATCACAGTTTCAATATCATAACTTGTGATTGGTCTGTTCATATTTTCTATTTCTTTCTGGTTCAGTCTTGGAAGGTTATACCTTTCTAAGAATTTGTCCATTTCTTCCAGGTTGTCCATTTTATTGGCATAGAGTTGCTTATAGTAAGTAGTCTCTTGTGATGCTTTGTACTTCTGTGGTGTCTGTTGTAACTTCTCCTTTTTCATTTCTAATTTTATTGAGTTGAATCCTCTCTCTCTTTTTCTTGATGAGTCTGGCTAAAGGTTTATCAGTTTTGTTTATCTTCTCAAAGAACTTCCTTTTAGTTTTGTTGATCTTTGCTGTTGTTTTCTTTGTTTCTATTTCATTTATTTCTGCTTTGATCTTTATGATTTCTTTCCTTCTACTATCTTTGGGGTTTTTTGTTCTTCTTTCTCCAGTTCCTTTAGGTGTAAGGTTAAATTGTTTATTTGAGATTTTTTTTGTTTCTTGAGGTAGTATTTTATTGCTATATACTTCCCTCTTAGAACGGCTTTTGCAGCATCCCATACGTTTTGGATAATTGTGGGGTTTTTTTGTTTTTTTTGTTTGTTTGTTTGTTTTTGCGGTACGCGGGCCTCTCACCGCTGTGGCCTCTCCCGCTGCGGAGCACAGGCTCCAGACGCGCAGGCTCAGCGGCCACAGCCCACGGGCCCAGCCGCCCCGCGGCACGCGGGATCCCCCCGGACCGGGACACGAACCCGCGTCCCCTGCATCGGCAGGCGGACTCCCAACCACTGCACCACCAGGGAAGCCCTGGATAATTGTGTTTTTGTTGTCATATGTCTCTATCTATATTTTGATTTCCTCTTTGATTTCTTCAGTGATCTCTTGGTTATTTAGTAATATATTGTTTAGCCTCCATGTGTTTGTGTTTTTAACGTTTTTTTCCCTGTAACTGATTTCTAATCTCATAGTGTTGTGGTCGGAAAAGATGCTTGATATGATTTCAGTTTTCTGAAATTTACTGAGGCTTGATTTGTGACCCAAGATGTGATCTATCCTGGGGAACGTTCTGTGCGCACTTGAGAAAAAAGTGTAATCTGCTGTTTTTGGATGGAATGTCCTATAAATATCAATAAAATCTATCTGATTTATTGTGTCATTTAATGCTTGTGTTTCCTTATTAATTTTCTGTTGGATGATCTGTCCATTGGTGTAAGTGCGGTGTTAAAGTTGCCCACGATTGTTGTGTTATTGTCGATTCCGTCTTCTATACTTGTTAGCATTTGCCTTATGTATTGAGGTGCTCCTATGTTGGGTGCATATATATTTATTATTGTTATATCTTCCTCTTGGATTGATCCCTTGATCATTAAGAAGAACAAAGTTTCCTTCTTTGTCTCTGTAACATTCATTATTTTAACGTCTATTTTATCTGAGTATTGCTACTCTAGCTGTCTTTTCATTTCCATTTGAAAGGAATATCTTTTTCCATCCCCTCACTTTCAGTTTGTATGTGTTCCTAGGTCTGAAGTGGGTCTCTTGTAGACAGCATATATATGGGTTGTGTTTTTGTATCCATTCAGCGAGCCTGTGTCTTTTGGTTGGAGCATTTAATCCATTCACATTTGAGGTAATTATCGGTATGTATGTTCCTATGACCATTTTCTTAATTATTTGGAGTTTGTTTTTGTAGGTCGTTTTCTTCTCTTGTGTTTCCCACTTAGAGAAGTTCCTTTAGCATGTGTTGTAGATCCAGTTTTGTGGTGCTGAATTTTCTTAGCTTTTGCTTGTCTGTAAAAGCTCTTGATTTCTCCATCAAATCTGAATGAGATCCTTGCTGGGTAGAGTAATCTTGGTTGTAGGTTCTTCCCTTTCATCACTTTAAATATTTTGTGCCATTCCCTCTGGCTTACAGAGTTTCTGCTGAGAAATCAACTGTTAAACTTATGGGAGTTCCCTTGTATGTTATTTGTCATTTTTCCCTTATTGCTTTTAATAATTTTTCTTTGTCTTTAATTTTTGTCAATTTGATTACTATGTGTCTCCGAGTGTTTCTCCTTGGATTTATCCTGCCTGGGACTCTCTGTGCTTCCTGGACTTCGGTGGCTATTTCCTTTCCCGTGTTAGGGAAGTTTTTGACTATAATCTCTTCAAATATTTTTTTGGGTCCTTTCTCTCTCTCTTCTCCTTCTGGGACCCCTATAATGCAAATGTTGCGTTTAATGTTGTCCCAGAGGTCTCTTAGACTGTCTTTTCATTCTTTTTTCTTTATTCTGTTCTGTGGCAGTGAATTCCACCATTCTGTCTTCCAGGTCACTTATCCGTTCTTCTGCCTCAGTTTTTCTGCTATTGATTCCTTCCAGTGTATTTTTCATTTCAGTTACTGTATTGTTTATCTCTGTTTCTTTGTTCTTTAATTCTTCTAGGTGTTTGTTCTTTAATTCTTCTAGGTCTTTGTTAAACATCTCTTGCATCCTCTCGATTTTGCCTCCATTCTTTTTCCGAGGTCCTGGATCATCTTCACTATCAGTATTCTGAATTCTTTTTCTGGAAGGTTGCCTATCTCCTCTTCTTTTAGTTATTTTCCTGGGGTTTTATCTTGTTCCTTCATCTGGTAAAAAGTCCTCTGCCTTTTCATTTTGTCTATCTTTCTGTGAATGTGGTTTTTGTTCCACAGGCTGCAGAATTATAGTTCTTCTTGCTTCTGCTGTCTGCCCTCTGGTGGATGAGGCTATCTAAGACGCTTGTGCAAGCTTCCTGATGGGAGGGACTGGTGGTGGGTAGAGCTGGGTGTTGCTCTGGTGGGCAGAGCTCAGTAAATCTTTAATCCACTTGTCTGCTGATGGGTGGGGCTGAGTTCCCTCCCTGTTGATTGTTTGCCCTGAGGCAACCCAGAACTGGAGACTACCGGCTCTTTGCTGGAGCTAATGGTGGCCTCTGGGAAGGCTCATGCCAATGAATACTTCCCAGAACTTCTGCTGCCAGTGTCCTTGTCCCTGCAGTGAGCCACAGCCACCCCCTGCCTCTGCAGGAGACCCTCCAACACTAGCAGGTAGGTCTGTTTCGGTGTCCTGTGGAGTCACTGCTCCTTCCCCCTGGGTTCTGATGTGCACACTAGTTTGTGTGTGCCCTCTAAGAGTGGAGTCTCTGTTTCCTCCAGTCCTGTTGAAGTCCTACAATCAAATCCCGCTGGCCTTCAAAGTCTGATTCTCTGGGAATTCCTCCTCCCATTGCCAGACTCCCAGGTTGGGAAGCCTGATGGGCTCAGAACCTGCACTCCAGTAGGTGGACTTCTGTGGTATAACTGTTCTCCAGTTTGTGAGTCACCCACCCAGGGGTTATGGGATTTGATTTGATTGTGATTGTGCCTCTCCTAGCATCTCACTGCAGCTTCTCCTTTGTCTTTGGATGTGGGGTATGTTTATTGGTGAGTTCCAGTGTCTTCCTCTCGATGATTGTTCAGCAGTTACTCGTAATTCTGGTGCTCTCACGAGAGGGAGTCCCATCTCTGTTTCTGTATTTGTGTTTATGTCTACCTCTTCCTGCCTCTAGCTGTATCTCTCTCTATAATTCAGTCTATAAAATTAAAGCACCAGAGTAAGATGTGTTTTAAAATCTTGGTAATATAGCACCCTCTTCCCATGTTTTAATAAATATCAGTTTAGTTTATTTCAGTTTTGTGTGCACTAAGCTAATAAAACTGCTTTTATGTTTATGCTGAATATTAGCAGACATACTTGCCAATTATGGATCATAGTTGATACTAAACAGCCTCAGATGAATTGTTGCTTTCTCAGTCTTGACATTTCTTATTAACGTCTAAGAAAATTCTGATTATTTTAGGAAATAGGATGAAAGACATTAGAATTACCTGGGGAATGAAAGCTCATTGAGACTCTTTTAGTATTTGCAGGATAGTGACCAGTTAGTCTCCATATACTCTGACAAATATTCTTAAAGACGAGCAAGAATAATTTTGTTAATGTCTCAGGAAGAAATTCCTAAGAACAAGGATTTTAAACATGGAAATGATTTACAAAATGTAAGCTTGGCATTTTTTTTCCTATCCA